ATAAGCTAAGAAACGCTACATCGATTATTTAGAAATGTACAATTATTATGACTATCGGAAATGTGCATTACATATGTTTAATCTCGATACACGTTCTTGCGATTACATTATAATTCGCAGAAAACATTTTGTATTCTTTTGCTACTACTGTATTACTGCAATTGTAGGCTTTAAACACAGAAATAACTATTTATATTTTATGATAGTAATAATAATTTAAGAATTACCCTAAAAGTGATTCGTCTTGTATACATCTATGATTACTATAAATTCTGACTTACGAAAATAGCATTTCTACTTCCTTTGCAATTTCTGATATATCCTCTTTAACTTAAGTTCTATGTAGCTTAAGTTCATTATATAATTTGTTGCTTTGTGATACAAGTATAAGGATGAAAAGTGTATTTAGTGTATTTGTTCACTTTTATAAGTATATTTTAATACGTTTATGTAAAATAAATATTTATTAGATTGTTTTCTTTATAAATATTTGCGTGAACAATATTGGCTTGTGCGAATTTAAATAGAAGTAAATTTTTATGACAGAAATAATTGTAACATCATATATTTTATAATAATGCTTATTGTGAATTATAATTTAAATAAATTAAATATACACCGTATTTTACGCGAATTTTACTTACAACATAGCTTTAATCTTATTTTTAAAATCTGACGAGTCTAGTCCAAATAATCAGCTAACATGGGATGCGGAATGAAATTCGGATTTGAATTAATCATAAAGATTAGATTGTATTCGAGCCACATTTCTCGAGATGCAATAAAATTTCTCACTACAGGCCCATTTGGCTATAAATCTCTATCTTCTGTATATAATATGAACACTTTACACAGATTAAAGAATTTTTATCGAAATATTTTATGAATGATAATATATTTAAGCATACATATTTACTCGTATGTGGTAGATAATTTAGAATTTAAATATTATATTTCCACTCACAAAAAAATTCCAAAATAAAAAGTAAAATTTTTATATATAATGTCAATATCAATAAATTATTTAATACTCCGATTATATATTATCGTCATTCTAAATGTACTCATTTCATTAAAATTGTCTTTTACTGAATATTTACTTAAATAATAAAAAAATAGAAGAAAAATAAATTTATAAAATTTAAATATTTTTAATAAATATTTAACAAATATCAAATTTATTAAAAGTTTATAATGTTGTTATCACAAACTTTAATTGAGTTAAATCAAACTAGAACTCAAATATATTTTATTGAATAAGAAATATAAAATATTTAAATTACAATATTGTATCATATATATCATCGAAATATTTTAAAAAAACAATACTTTTGTTACAATATGAACAGAAATATGTAGTTTTCTGTCGTAATTTTTATTAATTTAAATAAATCATTAATAAAATGAAAAGGAATTAGTCTGATTAATATGATGTTTCCATTTTAATTAAAATGAAATGATTTCAGTTTCATTTATTATTCTCAAAATTTTAATTTATAAAATTAATTAAATTCTTATAAATTGATGAATTATTATAGAATATACTTAATTTTCTTTAAATATTTTTGAAACCTGTTTACTGAATTCAAAAAATGTTTCTCACTGTAATATTATGAAACGATGTTTCAAAAAGTAATGTATAGAATGTAAAGAAAGTAAAATAAATTATATTATATAGTAGGTCTACAACTTGAATAAATATTTATGCCCTTCCTGTATTGCAAAAGAATTCTTTCCATAAATCTAAAAAAAAAAAATGAAACTAGACTAAATTCTTTTGCAATACATTCAGAAAATCAAATGTAATGTTTTAGAATATAGAAAATTCTTAAACAAATATTACAATTTTTTACATCGAATATAAGATTATTAAATACTGTTAAAAGTTTTTAAGCCGTCTAATTTCATTTACGTGATATTAATGTTTTATTTTCGCCTTACTTTATACTCTTTTGTTCACATCTTATTTAGATGTGTATGAATGAAGATATTTAAAAATATTTAAAATACGCAATATTTAAAATATATTTTGAAAAATTCAACTATAAAAAAATGAGTAGTTTAAATATAGTGAAGAAATAGATACTAAATAACAACATTAAGTTATATAAAATACAAGTTTCCTTAAACACTGTTTATATTGAGTTTCAAAATCAAAATGATTGTTTTTTTATTTGATAGATGTAATGATGATCTTGGTTGCAAGTTTTCAATAAAACTTGCAACCAAGATATCATTATGAATATTTGAAAAACAGTTATATTTGAGGAATAGTAAAAGATATTTTTAACTTCATATTGCAGCCGAATGAATTTTTATTTTTTTTTTTTTATTTTTGCACTATTGTCATAGCAAATTTTTTAAAAATTTAAACACGATATCTGGAAAGAATAGAAAATTTTAAAATTCTTATAAACATTCTTATTACATCTATAATTTTCTAGATTCAGTCTCTAAATTCTATAAAAATCAACTTCAAGATATAATAAAAACAGTTTATTATTTCAAAGTATTGTAAGCATTTAAACACGAAACATTTTTTTTCAAATTTTCAAATAAATAACTTATATTACAGATTAATATAAGGATTTCATACTTATTTAATGTTTGACTTTGAAAGTTAGGACAAAAATATATTTAATAATTACACAGATATACGGTATAAAGTAAAATAGCAAATTTTTAATTTATATCTATATCTCATATCAAAAGTCCATACACCTACCTAAAACTAATAGTATAATATAAATTTCTTATTTTTATTTTTGTTTTTTAATTTAAAATTAGATTTAAATTGTAAATACCAATACAATGTAGTATATATAAATTTCTTTTATAGATTTCAGATCTATATTTATAATAATTATATTTTAAATATAAATCTACAATCCATCATAAGTTTAATATTTCCTGAATCTAACAAATTCAGTAGTAGAACATTTTCTAAATTACTGAATCTAATAAAATTTAGTAATTTAAATGACTGAATTCTGCTAAATTCAGTAATTTTAATTTAATATTTTAGTTTGAGAGTTTTATTCTTGAAATCTTTAAATAATAAACCTTTAGATATAATTTTTACTATAAATAACTAACATCAATTTTAAAATAATTGAAATCGTTACAAAATTTTCTTTTCTTTTTATTTTATGATTAAGAATTACTAAAATAAATAATTTAATTATAATTTTCAATGTTTTTTTTGTTTCAAAATCAAATGATACAGCTTGAATATATATTTATGCCTTTCCTGTATTCCAAAAGAATTATTTCCATAAATCTGTTCCATAGATCAATTCATAATCAGCCGTCAACTAATTGTGCAGTAAGCCTAAGGAATTTTTCTACTGAAATGAAAGATCCTGGTTTAATTTAATTTAGCTCCTCGCATTTTTATGAGTTATTCTTGAAGATCTCAACTATATTTTTCACGAAATATGCTGACCTTAAAAACTCAAAAAAGACAAATCTGAAACTGGCATTCCAGTATATTCCAGTAAATGCTTAAAGTTTCACATAAAAGTCGAATTCGGTTTATACTTATTTTTTAATGTAAATTGGATTATATAATTGCACATTATAATTTATCGAAAAATTTTTAACCATTAAAATGACAAGAAAAATTTATATAACAGTTAAAATATTCAAGATGATAAAATGAAAAACTAAATAATAAATGCATTCATTAATAATTCTATTAATTCAAAATTAATTCTAATTGGTTGCATATAATGCATCAAACATGAAGTGAAATAATAACAACTCTATCATGTTGGATCAACCCATCCACCATTTGCAATAATACTCTAATCCGATTGAGAACGTTTGTCGTCTTAAAGGATAAGACATATTTAGTAGTTCTGATAGTCGCTTTCTGAACTATCTTTAAATTCAAAAAATCCTATTAGAAGTTCTTCCTTTACTACTTTCCTCCGGCATATATCTCCATGGGCCGAATACTTTTCTTACAACCAGACTTTTATGAATGAAATATTCCAGAATCAAACTAAATCGTTCATAATAATTTTTACAATGTCAAGTAATTAAAATAATTTTATTTTCTAAATTATAATAAAATTTGTGAATTTGGTAAAATTTTGTTTCAAATGGCCTTAATTGCAAATAATAAAAAGATGTTGCAGATTTTAATACATTATTTTACAACAGGTAATTTAATTACAAAATATTTAATTTTAGTTTTTAATAAATAATAATTACAATTATAATTTTCATACATAGGGTTATATAAACAGATGTTATATTATATTTTTTTGCTGCATCATTTATTTTCTAAAAATAGTTTTTAACGCGGAAAATTTTTCAATTATTATTATTTTTTTTTTAATTTTTTCTTAAATAAAAGCAAATTGCTAATACAGAAAAGTTATAAAAAAAGTTTCAAAAATTTTTTTATAAAATGTATTGTAAAAAATACTAAGAAAAAACCTTTATGAACGTTTTGATCTTTCAAAGATTATTGGAAAAGAAAAAAAAATTATTTTTAGAAAGTAAAAAAAAAATTATTTTTAAAAAGTAAAAATAAAAATTTATTTCACTAGATTGTTGCAATAATATTATATATAAAAAATTAAATATTTTCTTATATTTAATTTTAAATATATACTATTAGTGCAACAATCTTAAACATGTTGCTTTCTCTTTATTCAGGTATTATAGGAAATGGCACTGTTATGAAAATAGCTTGATGATTCTCTCTGCTCTTTTTTTACACACATAAATGATGAGAAATTTTGAAAAATACAGTTTGATTGTAAGATAAAAATATAATTATATATAATTAAAAGATTTTAAGCATACAAAATGATTAAAATTTAAATAGAAATTTACAAAAGAATATATTTATAAATATTATTTAAGTATAAATTATTCATCAGAATCTGTCATCATAAATAATGAGCTCTTTTAGTTTTTAACAAATTAATGCTTCACATATTTATTAATGTAATGCTTTTATAATTAAATAGTAAAGATCGACTCACCTTTGTTCTTCTTTAGTCATATTTTTCCTTTTTTTTGATCTTAAAGACGGAGAGTGATATTCATCGACATTTTCCGCCTTTCACTGGAACTCGTTTGTCGTCTGCTCCTCTTCTCACAAGTTCAGCGCCATCTGTTGAATTTTATTTTACGTTTACGACTAAAATCAATCAAATTCTAACAACCATAAAAATTGTACTTAACAGAAACTTGATATTACAGCCAATAAAAATAATATTTTTATTAATTGAAATTATTGATTTATTATTACTATTTCAAGCGAAAACTAAATGTTCATCCGTGTTTGTTTAAAAATATATGTAAAATCGAAACAAATTTAAGATTCTAAATTTCTAAAGCAAATATTTTATAAATTTTTAAAATAAAAAATTCAAAATATTTTTACATCGTATATTTTTAATAATAAGTTATTTATTTAAGTTCATCGCGTGCTCTAGTGTATATACTGTTATATTATTAAAATTTGGCCGCATGACCAAGCGATTAAAGTGATAGCTTACCGCTCTGGGGACTTGGGATCGAATCCGGACGGGTCGAAAAATCTCTAGGAATTTTTTTGGAGGGGGTCCGTTCGGATATGTCCGGCCCCGTTCTTTACCACCTGGCCGAACCCATAATAGGCTTGCTAAAAGAGGCACTCTTAGTGCCCACAAGGCGGAAAGAGTTAAATATATATATATATATATTAAAATTCATTTATACTATTTTTTATCATAATATAAGATTTATGTCAAACAGTTAATAAGAATTAATAATAAGAGATTTAATCGCATTTTTAATATAGCTTTTTATCATTATTTCGTAATGTTACGGTTAAAAAAATCAATAAAATGATTAAAGAATGTTACATTCGATGAGGAAGTCTAATTTAATCTTCATTTTTTTACTAACCACTCATCTTATCATTTAAATAAGGCGAAATTAAGAATAAGCTTGTAACGTAGTATTAAATCAAAGCTATATTGCAAAATAAATTGAACTGATTTAAATTAATTACTTTAGATAAAACTAAAATAATTTTAATATTTAATTTGTTTGATTTCAAATTTGAAATTGTAAAATTAACTTAAATGGAAAAAAAATACTAAAGTCTCTGGTATCATTATTCTCTTCTGTAAAAGCTGTTCAGAATTCAGTTCAGTAGAAAGAATTATTATTATACTTTTACATGCTGTCCCTACAAAAGATAAGAAATAACTAATGCATTTTCTCATTGAGAAGGTGTACTTAATATCTATTTCTCCTTTTTCTAATAATAACAAAAACGTATAATGTATGATAATGCAAACTTGATATAATTACATACATTAATTTGTTTTGAATATTCATTGCAATCATCTAGCAGAGTTTATTTTTGGAAAAAGTATTTAACTACCTCTAAGACAAACATTTAATTTCAAACTTTTCAAAATTAATGTTTGATTGTTTGATCATATAAATGAAGAAAAACTTTAAGTATTATTTTCAAATGTTCTTATTTTTAATTACTTTTTTATAATTGTAAGAAAATAAAATGTTAATGCAAAATATTTGCTTTTAAATTAAATTTTGTAAATTACTTTTTCAAAATGAAATTTATCAACGATTTATGTAAGTAGATTCTTTATTTGAAACTTCATTAACCTTTGTCAATAAAAATTATAATCTCCGATTTGCATTTAAACTTGTAATGTTTATTCAGATAATTATATTTCTCTTCATAAATATCCTATGTTAATATAGGGATAGACCTATATAAATATGCGTTAATTTTAGAAGCTAAAAATATTTAAGTTTTAATAAGTTTTATATTTAAATTTATAAAAATAATCTCGTCCGAGTAATATTAAATTTATCATTTTCATCTCGAAATACTGATATCACGATAACTTTTTTTAAAAAAAAAAATTGTTTTCATCATACTATAAAAATAATTTTTTTTATTTTTCTTCAAATTTTTAATTTACTTTAAAGAAAACTAGCATTTGGTTTTTATAGAATCAATTAAAGATATCTATTCTCACAACTTTTTTCTGACGCAATTAAATGCGTAAAAAAGTCAGAGAAGTTAAAGTAGAAATCAAGTTTACTTAAGTTATAATTTAATTCTGTAATCACTTTTCTTCGATAAACTTTTAAAAGATTTCATTTTAAAATAGTTTCTTTAAAAATTGAGTGAGATAAGTAATATAATTAAATATATTTATATACAAAGCTTTTATTTTAAAATATATTTGTATTAATGACTAGAATTCAATACTTTTTCTAATAAAATTCTTAATGATAAATTGCAATATTAATAATTAATTTTAAAATATCTTTTTATTACACTTTTAATACGAAGTTATTAACAGTATTATGTATTTTACACACACAAACACATCCACAGACACGTGTGCGCACAAACACACACACACACACGCACATATATATATATGTCAGTGATTAACTTTTGTGAAAAGTTTTTTTAAGAGATTAAGGATATAATATCGTGAATCATGAATCGATTGCTGATAAGTTCTTGCTTGTATGAATAATTTTTATTGGCCTTTCCATTTTTATGTTTATTGTTATCAACAATTCCAAGTTGTTTTAACTTGTATTAATCGTTTTTGAAATAACAAACGTTAAATATTTTCAGTAAAAAATATTTTAAATATTTTAAATTAATTTATGCAATATCGAGATTATAAGCGTTAAAAATTAATTCAGGATCGTAGCTAAATATTTTTAAAATAGAGATGTATTTTTGTACTTAAATTACATTAAGGCAATATAATTTGTTTTTAAATCGAAGAAAATCATATCTAATAAAAGGAAAAGTAAAATAAAAATTTTGTGGTTATTAAATATTTGTGCAATTACGTAGAAGCATAATAAAAAATTAAATATTATATTAAATATTTAATGATAAATGTTAGAAAGTAAGATAAAAGTGTAAATAATATTAAATATTATGTAAATTTAAAAACTATTCATACAAAAATTATAAAAAGAAAATTTGAATATTCAAATATTTACACTACACAATTATTCATAAGGAAAAAACGTTGTAATGAAATTGTTTTATACTAATTTCTTCTTACGCCATTGCGCTATTTATAAATTATTTTGAATTATAATTTAATTAAAATACTTATTCTGCTATGTTTAATATATATAAATGAATACAATTAAATTCTGAAATTTAATTTAAAATTTAATAATATTTCAATTTAAAATTCAATTTTTTTTNAAGAATTAATAATAAGAGATTTAATCGCATTTTTAATATAGCTTTTTATCATTATTTCGTAATGTTACGGTTAAAAAAATCAATAAAATGATTAAAGAATGTTACATTCGATGAGGAAGTCTAATTTAATCTTCATTTTTTTACTAACCACTCATCTTATCATTTAAATAAGGCGAAATTAAGAATAAGCTTGTAACGTAGTATTAAATCAAAGCTATATTGCAAAATAAATTGAACTGATTTAAATTAATTACTTTAGATAAAACTAAAATAATTTTAATATTTAATTTGTTTGATTTCAAATTTGAAATTGTAAAATTAACTTAAATGGAAAAAAAATACTAAAGTCTCTGGTATCATTATTCTCTTCTGTAAAAGCTGTTCAGAATTCAGTTCAGTAGAAAGAATTATTATTATACTTTTACATGCTGTCCCTACAAAAGATAAGAAATAACTAATGCATTTTCTCATTGAGAAGGTGTACTTAATATCTATTTCTCCTTTTTCTAATAATAACAAAAACGTATAATGTATGATAATGCAAACTTGATATAATTACATACATTAATTTGTTTTGAATATTCATTGCAATCATCTAGCAGAGTTTATTTTTGGAAAAAGTATTTAACTACCTCTAAGACAAACATTTAATTTCAAACTTTTCAAAATTAATGTTTGATTGTTTGATCATATAAATGAAGAAAAACTTTAAGTATTATTTTCAAATGTTCTTATTTTTAATTACTTTTTTATAATTGTAAGAAAATAAAATGTTAATGCAAAATATTTGCTTTTAAATTAAATTTTGTAAATTACTTTTTCAAAATGAAATTTATCAACGATTTATGTAAGTAGATTCTTTATTTGAAACTTCATTAACCTTTGTCAATAAAAATTATAATCTCCGATTTGCATTTAAACTTGTAATGTTTATTCAGATAATTATATTTCTCTTCATAAATATCCTATGTTAATATAGGGATAGACCTATATAAATATGCGTTAATTTTAGAAGCTAAAAATATTTAAGTTTTAATAAGTTTTATATTTAAATTTATAAAAATAATCTCGTCCGAGTAATATTAAATTTATCATTTTCATCTCGAAATACTGATATCACGATAACTTTTTTTAAAAAAAAAATTGTTTTCATCATACTATAAAAATAATTTTTTTTATTTTTCTTCAAATTTTTAATTTACTTTAAAGAAAACTAGCATTTGGTTTTTATAGAATCAATTAAAGATATCTATTCTCACAACTTTTTTCTGACGCAATTAAATGCGTAAAAAAGTCAGAGAAGTTAAAGTAGAAATCAAGTTTACTTAAGTTATAATTTAATTCTGTAATCACTTTTCTTCGATAAACTTTTAAAAGATTTCATTTTAAAATAGTTTCTTTAAAAATTGAGTGAGATAAGTAATATAATTAAATATATTTATATACAAAGCTTTTATTTTAAAATATATTTGTATTAATGACTAGAATTCAATACTTTTTCTAATAAAATTCTTAATGATAAATTGCAATATTAATAATTAATTTTAAAATATCTTTTTATTACACTTTTAATACGAAGTTATTAACAGTATTATGTATTTTACACACACAAACACATCCACAGACACGTGTGCGCACAAACACACACACACACACGCACATATATATATATGTCAGTGATTAACTTTTGTGAAAAGTTTTTTTAAGAGATTAAGGATATAATATCGTGAATCATGAATCGATTGCTGATAAGTTCTTGCTTGTATGAATAATTTTTATTGGCCTTTCCATTTTTATGTTTATTGTTATCAACAATTCCAAGTTGTTTTAACTTGTATTAATCGTTTTTGAAATAACAAACGTTAAA